CACGTTACATGGAGAGGTTGTGGCCCTACCTTCTCACAGGGACACTGCCCTCAGTTTGATTATTTCCCACAACTTGCTGCATCTTGGATCGCTCAATGTGTTCCACGTAGGTCTGGATCATCTGTGAGGGGAGAAAAATGCATGAGGCAAACAGAGTAGAAGGAAAGACTCGTTTTCTGCTTTTGTTTAATTTTCTACAGCACTCATTTCCTGGGGTTTTTTGCATATTTCCTTGTCTTTCCTGTTGTCTTCTAAGCTGATGATACAAGTGATGATATAAGAATAATCTGATAGAAAATCTGACAGAAATTGTGGGGGAAATTACTTCAGCTGAATCTCATAACAGAAGATCTGTGAAAGAGCATATCCAAAACCAACATAAAGCATCTCCTGGAGGCTCACTGGCAGTGGGAGATGTGGTAGTGCGGCACTGTGCACAGCATCACAGAACAGCTGAGGCTGAGAAACCTCCTGGGGTCCATCAGGTCCAACCCCCTGCTCAAAAAGGGCCACCCTGAGCAGGCTGCCAGGACTGCATCCAGGTGCTTGTGAATATCTCCAAGGATGGAGACTCCAACACATCTCTGGACAACCTGTGCCAGTACTCATTGTCCTCACAGTAAAATATTTTTTCCTCATGTTCAGAATGAGCTTTGTGTGTCTCAGTTTGTGCCAGCTGTCTCCAGCCTTGCTACGGGGCACCGCTGAGCAGAGCCTGGCTTCAACCACTTTACAACCTCCAGTCAGGTACTTCTGATGTTCCTAAAGTTCAGAAGCTCTAGTCATCACTAGGATTGTAAAACTGAATTCTCTGACATGGCTTTAGGTATAGACAAAGAGTTTATTAATTCAGAAATAACGAGGTGACACTCTACCTCTGTGTGACGCTGATGCAGAGTATTGTACTCCTTCTTCATTTCTGATTCACGTTCCTCCAGTCGAGAAACTGCCAAGAGAGAATCCCAACCATCAGCTAACACACACCAGGCTCTCAAAATAAACTATTTGTTAAACAAAGACTATTTTGTTAGAAATGAGTTTATACCTACTGAATAAAACAAACAGAAACAGAATAATGCACGCTGTGGGACCTGGTGTTCATCACAAGCTCAGCTCCTGGGTACCTGCACGTTCCCAACACCAGCAATTTTGTGCAGTAAGTGCAATAAAACCACAGTTTTTCAGCAGTAGCCTGGTGCCCCGTAAGCGTCTTAGTTTGACAACAATTTAAATTGTCCTCTGGGACTGGCACTTCTGGCTACTAGAGGAGCACGAGGACTGGACAAGACACCAAGGAATTCTGAGGGGAACTCCAGTCAACAAACCATGGCTGCACATGTTAAGGAAGTATTTGTAAAAATAAACAAATAAACAAGCAAATAATTGTGATGGGTTTTATAAGAGGAAAAAAATGAAAGATTCTATTCAGAGAAAAGGAGAAACTGGAAAACAGGTTCCAAAGGCCCAAATCTTGCACCTGGAGAGACTGAGCCTGCCCCACAAAAGAAAAGCAATGCAGTCTCGACCGAATTAGTGTGGATACATCCCATCCTTTAGAAGGCTCAGAAGTAAGGGATAACCAGACATTTCAGGCTTTGTGTAAATTACATTAAACCAAAGAAAAAGTATGAAAATTATTTTTAAAGTAGCACTGTATGTGTGTGGAAGGCAATGTGTACAATGTTGTCTGGTGTACACCTTTGCTTACTCTGGTCTGCATAGTTTTTGGTCTTCAGCTCCAACTGTCGAGTCTGAAATTCAAGGTGTTCCACTTGGATTTGTAGTTCTTTCTTCTCCTGTTCCAGTGCATCTTCAAACTCTATGAACTTCTGCACAGGGAAAAAGCAGATAAGGAGGCACAGATGAGGATTACATGTAAAATGGGTTTGCCCTACATGACTTTTCCTTTCTTCACAAAAAATGAAATCTGGGAGAATATAAATAACACAATAGGAAATAAGACTTTTTAAGTATTGTAATGAGCACAACAGCATTTTATCAAGCCAAAGAGTCTATTTTGTATGAGAAAGTATTGTTATCTTTAATGCATAATTAATATATAAACTATGGTCCAACATGAGTTCTGTAAACTCGATCATCTTCAGCAACACTGGTCTTCCTGCACAGAACACTGGGCTGAAGGAATGATTTTACAGATATATCACGGTGAAAACACAACAGGAAAATACCTCATTTCAGGGTGTTCTTTCTGTAAACTGTCACTTCTGACCCGGGAGCTTTAGTCACTCCCTGCCACAGGCACCAGCACCCAGAGCAGAGTAAAACACATGGAACATTCCATCCAGCTCTACTGCAGTCAACTGGTATTACGCAACTCTTGACAGGAGCTGGAGCTACAGGTGCTTTCATGAAATATTTAAACTAAGAAGGGTCCCTGGGAAGTGAATGCATCTCCATATCTCTGCATATACATGGACTAGCCTGATTCTTGTATGCTACGTGGTCACCACGGCTTTTCTGCACAAAACACCAACACAGTCCTGACACATAATCCACGCTTCTAGGTTCAGAAACGGAGCTGCTTCTAGCACCACCCCTGACACAGACTGGTGGGAAATTGCCTAAGGCTCAGAGAACATGTGCTCTACTAAGCACACACATCCTCTTCCCAGCAAACAAAGCCTGAACATGGTACCACCAGGCATACAAGGACATCAGAGCTATACCACCACCCACAGAACAAGTCCTGGCCTGGCCTTACAAAAACAGAAATTAGAGTCTTGTTACATTACTCCTGAATAGTTCCACCCAAAAAAGCCTGAAGTACAGCATCATCTGTACCAACCAGTCCAGTAATTAGAACACCAACCCATCAGCTGAGTGGCAGGAGCACGGCTGAGGCCAGGGGCAGCCCTGGATCCAGAGCTGCTGAGGACGAAAGGGAGCCGGAAGTAAAGCCAAGAGGATTTTAATCCACCTTTAAGATGTTTATGGACCAAGAGAAGCCCGCAGGAAGTAACTGGGGGCTGCAAGGAGCTCACGAGGCTCTGCTCCTGGCCCTGCCTCTCTCCCTCTCCATCTATTTGCCATATCCTCCTTAGGTCCAGCTCCAACAGATTCAACAGCTGGTTAAAATCATGGATACTGGGGAGGAAAATCCCTCTCTCCCCTCCTCTGTCCTCTGCATGGGGGAAGTGTTCTCTCCACAAACATCGCTGCTCAGAAGGGCATGGAAATTTCAATTTAAAAAAGTAAAGCCTTGTTGTACTCCAAAAGAGACAGAATCTGGTGAGAATCCTTTTTGGCAAAGATTCCCAGGGAAACAAACACATTTAAATGCACAGTAAGATTATTTTGTTAAATTCTGCACATGAGCGAATCTGCACAGAATCTGGCTGCACTCTCAGGATAAACCCCATGCATATTCCCTATTGCTTTTACTGGAATTATTAGCAGGGACGCTGGAGCCATCATTATGAACTGGATCCTCTCCCTGTGGATGACTGAAAGCCACATCATTTATTATTCCTGCAGACTTTTAAAACTGCTCAGTAAATTCCTGGGAGCAGTGACTCAGTTTGTGTTCCTACATACCTGCATTTATAGAAACAATCAAACACACTTTAGCCATGTCTCATTTCCCTGCACTTGGTGTTCCACAATGCTTTTAATCTCTAACCGGGCTTTTAACTTTATTCTCCTTCCTCCCCAAATTTATTGTAATACGGGTTTGGGTTTTTTCCCCAGTTATGGTTGTTTTGCACAGTATTTTCTAGAAATACCAGCAATACCAATACCCTTCTTCCCCTATAAAGGAGTCATCTCAGAGGCTAAACATTTACTTTTTAATTAAATTTTAAGACCATACAAGGGTTTAGATTTTTAAGTAAGTGGTTTTTTCCTCAGATGTCAATTAAACATTGAAATTCCTTAGTCACTTACCCAGCAACCTGTTTTATGGATTTTGAGAGATTTATAAAGCAACATGCTTGTAAATTTGCAAATTTATTATTGAAATTTTTTCCAGAGCAACAATATAATATCATAATGAGTAAAAAAGGAAAAGAAATCCTAATGGACACAGTGACAATGGACACACTGAGCAACAGAGCTGAGAAGCAGCAGTTTCACTTGCTCCATTTGGAGCCTGATGGAAGCTATCCCAACAAAGAGCCTTTTCCTAGTATAATCTCCATCTCCTTGCGGGTTTTTGCAGGAATCACTCTCTGCTAAAGCTCTATTGACGAACCCTTTTCATTACAGGCAAGGGTTAAATCCTCATCCTATCACAGCAGCTCAGCTTTCACCACCCTCCTGCTCCTGTTTCTCCAGCCAGGAACATGCACCCCAGCCAGGCAGGAATGAGGGGTTTAGCAGCAATAAAAATGAAAGGACGTTAAGAAAAACATTCACAGATTTCTTAACAGTAAATTAGAAAGTAAAAGAAGGTACAAGCTCAATTTTATTCCCATTATGTAGGTCACCTTTAATAGGATTCCTGGATTTGCTACTGCTGTTTTGGTTTAATTCAGAGAAAACTGATTGAAAGATTAAGTGTTCTACAAATCTGGCTCAGTCTTCTTCCTCAGACCTGTCTATTTTGCAACCTAAAAGTAATCAAAGAAACATAAAACTAGAAATCAATTAAACACTTGAAAAGAAAGAGACACAGAGACAGTGACATTAAAAATTAATATTGCCCTAAGTGTTTGGAGGGTAGAGCAGCATTTTGGATAAAAACACTGCAGGACAGCCCACTTGGTGCTGAGGAGATCGAATGCATTTGTGTGCACGGGCCTGAGGGCTCTGCAGCACCTTGTACCTGCTCCCCCATCAGGGCCCATCTCACCTGAGCTTCTCCCTGCACATCACAAGCTCTGAGAGCTGGAAAAGTCCCAAATCCAGAGTGAAGTTACCAGCCACAGCAGTGGGATAAGAGGGAGAGGATTCCTGACAGGGCTGTGCCCGAGGAAGATGTTCCTGACAGAGAACTGTCACTGTCACTGCTGCTCATCCTTCTTGGCACCAGGGCAACCAGGCAGGCTTTATTCCCTGCAGCAGACATTCCATACAGCATCCAGGGAAAGGCCACCCTAGCCACTAGAAGCAGCAGAGATTGAACTGACTTTACTCAGAGGTGAGCACAGCCACAAGCACAACTAAGCAATGTCAGAAGTTTGGAGAAAGCAGGCACTTGAGGCTCATGTGAGTTCCTCTTGCGAGCAGCGGCCTCCGGAGACAGACAGCAGAGGCAGTGCTTCATGCCCTGCACGATGCTGTGTCACAGGCCTCAAGCTGTGGCTCCTGGCCCACATCACGGGGCTGCAGGTGGCCCAGATGAGCAGCCAGGCTGGCTCCAGCCTCCCTCCTGCCCAAACTCAACCCACCAGGTGTATCCCCAGCACACGGCAAACCCCCTGCCACATGGGGCTCTCTGCACCAAACCTCACCATCCCATGGTGCTGGAAATTCATTACAGGGCAGGAGAAACAGAGAAAACAAACTGAATAAAGTGTTTTAATTTTTTTTAACTTTTTTTGATTAACCAGGCTCCCAGAGGCAGTCATACTGCCAAGTACATGTTATTGAGTGAATGCAACTCCGTAAATAAACACCCATAGGCATTTCACTTTTTCTGTTTCTTTCAGAGGTGGGATACAATCCTGGCCCTGATCAAGCTGTGGGAATTTCTCAGGAACTTGAAGAGGAATCCAGATATCACCCCAAACCTTTAAACCTCCTAAAAATAACCAGGCGGAGGGGACACTAACTTGGAAGTCTCCTTCCGATTAGAACATTTTCTAGCTGTAATATGTACAAAAAGCACTAAACTCAGACAAAAGAGAAAAAGAATCCCTCTGGTTTACTCTTGCTTATTGTGTTTTTCACCTGTCTGTGCCCCAACAACCTGACCTAAATGCTGCACAGATGTTTGATGCACAAATATGAAGTTCTGTAGGTGCTTACTCACACTTGCTAATCAGCAAAGAATATTCACAGGAATCAAATCCACACTTCTGGCCTCAGAATAGTAAAATTCCAGTAACTTCTGAAAGTAGACACTGCAGATACACTCTTGCTTCATTATAAACATAAATATATGTAACAGGAGCATAGAATCACAGAATGGTTTGGGTTGGAAGGAACCTTAAAGTTCATCTCATTCCACCCCCTGCCATGGGCAGGAACACCTTCCACTAGCCCAGGTTGCTCCAAGCCCCATCCAGCCTGGCCTTGGACACTTCCAGGGATGGGGCAGCCACAGCTTCTCTGGGCAACCTGCGCAAGGGCCTCACCACCCTCACAGGGAAGAATTTCTTCCCAATATTCAATCTAATCCTGCTCTCTGTCAGTATGAAGTCAAGTAGGGGGAAAAAAAACCCAAAGAAACAATCAAACAGCATAGCCTTATGGTCTTTTAAAATACATTTTAAAATAACCAAATACACTATCCACAAAGCACTGTGACACAATCTCAATGCCCAGTTTTAAAACTGCATTGCAAATTTGCTGACTGCATTCTTTCACTTTAGTGCTGCCAAGAGGCAAGAAAAAAATCTGGTGCTGGTGAAGCATCCCAGGCTGAGCCTGCTGCTGCAGCTGCCCTTGATTTCATTGGTTTCTCATTCCCAGGGCCAGGTACTGCAACTGGTTTTCCCTGATGGTTTCACTGCATGGAGCTCAGCTCAGACTCTCAGTTCAGGGATTCACAGCTCCCAGCTCCAACTGGATGGAGATGCAGTAAAGACATTTAGAAAACAGAAATAAAATGAACCAGAGAATTCCACTGATGGTTAAGAAAAACTATTTTTTTTTTGCTTTCAGTGGGTGCACTGGAAGCAGAAACAGCCCCCACTCGCAGGAGTTC